TACACTAGCTGTCCCTCGCGACTTCGCCCGCGTGGAATTTATTAATTTATTTATTTGTATAGATATAGTCGTCATTCGATTCTGACCTATGTTTAAAATTTTATGTCTCTAACTCATCGCGAAATTATTTAAAATCAATTACAAGTCGACCCAAACAGACTAACAGACAGACACGAAAGCGAGTTAATAAAAACGCGACAAAAACACTCAGCACCAAGCAGAAGTAAGTATTAGTAAGTTGTTATTTTACGCTGGTATTCTGTGATAGCGTGGTCCGTCCCCAATCAAGCCAAACCATTCCTGCTGCATCCATAATATAGCTGCAGCTTGGATCTTTAAAAATTACACATTATATAAGATTACATGTCTTTATCACTTTTTATTTATAACTTCGCCGTGGTAACATAAGATTAAATTTTGATTATAGGTTAAGATGATAGCCTTTTAGTCAGTTCATTTCAAATCAAAAAGTTAAATATAATTGTTACAATTGACCATGACAAGTTGTTTCATCATTCTAGCGCCGTGTTTGTAAATTTCACAGAATACGGGCAACCTGAGTAACCGCCGACACTAGTTGAATTGTCAGCTGTAAGTTTATTTTATAAGTTCTGAAGTTCTAGGGCCCAATTAGAAATGGGTAACTTTGTAGACATTTATACAGGGTTATTTTGCAATAACCAGCCAAATTTGCAGAGAAGGTTCACAATAAGTAATATAGGCAAATAGTGAAGAAAAATTAATTAAAAAAAACATTCTGTCCTTTTTATCTTTTAAATTCAAAATGCGTGGTAATGCATTATTTTAACTGCTTTTACTGCGCACACATATTCCTAAGGATCGATCGGTAGACAAAAACGTTATTTCCCATGAATCATATTTAATTTGGGATGATTTTAAATAAAAGTAGATGCCTTATTTACTCGTATTTACAAAACCTGCAATAACGGTATGTCATTATTTATATATATAGGATAGGGGTGACAAACGAGCACATAGTCCACCTGATGGTAAGTGGTTGCCGTGGCCCATAGACATAGACATTTATCTTCGATTACGAATCAAAATACAGATGCGTTGTCGTCCGTGAGGGCTAAGATGGAATGCCTCGTTTCCAGTAAAAAGGGTCTCCGGTTCTCTACACTCACCATACGAAACACAGCAGCGTTAAGCTGCTATTTTACGCTAGTATTCTGTGAGAGCGTGGTCCTTCCGGTCGAGCCAACCCATTCTTGCTACAACTATACTCGATACTAATATAGTTGCTGCATGGCTCTACCACGTAAACGTCTTTATGTATATTCACCGATTACTAGAAGACGCCTGAACCGATTTCGAAAATTCTCTTTTTTGTTTCAAAGGGTATATATACGTCCCAGGTGATCCCATTTAAATTTTATTGAAATCGGTCGAGCGGTTTTTAAATGATTTATATTGAAGTCAGTTGTATAAAATTATTCATTTTACTTCTGACATATTTTTATTTAATTTTTTATCTGACATATTTATGTTTACGTCATTTATTATAACAGTAAATTTTTGATTAAGAGAGAGAGAGAGAGAAGAGAAAGAGAGAGATTTTTGAGTAGGATTGAGATAACGAAAATCTGACGACTAATTTAGAAGCTACAAATACGGACCGACAACTAAAACCAGTTAAATAAAAATATCTCGGTATCTAAATATCACAGTGAAGTCTTTCGATCACAAAAAACTTCTATTTATACTACTAGACGGGCTCTGCGGCCTTAATTCATTGCGCACTAAGTTATGGTCAATTCTTCGTAACTTCTTCAGTCGACTGCGAGCAGGCGAGAAGACTAGTTCTTTGTTTTGTAAAACGCGATCGTTGTTTTTAACAATCTAACACTGATTTTGTTTAATGAGACTAAGAAACTTCTGTCATTATTAATGTTTCGTATTTGCCTAAAAGGAGTAACTGTCGTAAATGACATATACGATAAATATACAACTGCGTGGCATGTTTATCGTGCTAAGCTACCCGCCCAGTCAGTGCCCGCGACCGCACCCGTGCAATCCACAGTTCTCAGTTCACTGTCGGAATCGAATAAGACACTACCCTAGGAGGGTACCAGTACCCTTGGTGAACGGTGGTGAGAATGCCTCGCAGAGCATTCTCACCACCGTGCCCAAGCTACCCTACTCCGTTCTACATCAGGTCCCATCCGCAGAGATAGTGATCCTCGGTGATTTTAACGCCCATCACGGAATGGAACATTTTATTACATAATCTGGTGCCTATCGATGGCAGAACTCAGCCATAGTTTGGTCACTCCTGTAAAATCACATCACGCTATAAGCAGGAGTGCTGACGCATCGACGTCTCGGAATGTAAACACCAAGGCTCTTAAAACGAAGTTTAATTCCACCTCCAGGTCTTTTAAAAGTGTCATGCTAAGGCAAAGTCTAGTCTAGTTCGACTTCCTTAGGGAACACGTGTATTCTGGTCTCCTTTGAGGGCGGTTTTGCTTTTCGCCGGATGATCCCAAGTTTGTTGCTGATTCTGTCGTTGATGTGGTACTTCAGGGAATGGAATTTTTTATTCCATCATCTGTGGTGCCTATCAGAAGCAGAACTCTGTCATGGCTTGGCTCTGTAAAATTGCACTGCAATATTTTGCTGCTTATGCAAAAGTGCTACCGGGCCTGGGCTGAGGCATCCACGTCTCGGGATAAAAACACAAGCGCTCTTAAAAAGAAGTATGCTTCCGCCTACAGGTCCTTCAAAAATGTTATTGGCAAGGCAAAGTCAAAATTGGCGAGAAACTAGTTCGACTTCCTTCAGGAACACGTGCATTCTGGTCTCTCGCCAAGGCTGTCACCAAGGGAACTTCTGTCAGCCATCTCAACCATCTCTGCACAGGGAGGACGACTAACTGGCCCATGCCGCAAAGGAGAAATAGGCTCTGCCTATGTGCTAGGCTCTCTTTTTGCATCCAACTCGACTCTCGATGACGGGGGAACACACCGCCGACCATCCCGCGGTGTGAGTGCTCCATGTATTATGTACTGTTTCCACAGCACTCGGTGCGCAAAGCACTACTCTCTCTGGACATCAACAAGTAGAGTGGGCCTGATGGTGTCCCTCCCATTGTGCTGAAGACGTAGCACACGTCTTCAGCACAATTCCGTTTTAACGCGTCTTTTTCGGTACTCTCTAGGCGTAGTCCCGAATTCATGGAAGACAGCTTTTATCCACCCGATCCCTAAAAAAGGCGACCGCTCAGACCCGTCCAACTACAGACCCATCACCATCACCTCCTTGTTCTCCAAAATAATGAAATCCATTATAAACTGCCAGCTCATGAGGTACCTTGAGGATCACAGTCACACAGTCGGGGTCGATCAGTTGGTGATCTTCTGGTCTACCTAACTCATAGATGGGCGGAGGCAGTAGAGTCTAAGGGGGAGGACTTGGCCGTTAGTTTGGACATAGCGAAGGCCTTGGATCGGGTTGGGCACAAAGCACTTCTTTCGAAGCTTCCTCCCTATGGGCTTCCCGACAAATTGTACAATTAGATCACCAGTTTTCTTGCAGATCAGAGTGGTGTGGTGTAGTGTTCCACAAGGCTGTGTGCTATCACCAACGCCGTTTCTTCTGCATATCAATTATATGTTGCAAGTCGGTAACATTCATTGTTAAGAGAACGACAACACTGGTGATGCTTTATACACCGGCCTTGCCAATGTTTCTCGGGAAAACGTGGCCGAGTACCGAACAAATTTGTGTCTGAAGGAGAGACTTTGTTGAACAAAGTTTCGGATTGGGGGCGACTAAATTTAGTCCAGTTCAATCCCCAGAAGACACAAATTTGCGCGTTTACCGCTAAAAAGAACCCCTTTGTTGTATCTCCTCAGTTTCAGGTCACTCCCCTTGTTGCCTCAGCCAGTATCGGAATCCTCGGCGCTGACATATCGAATGGCGTGCAGTTTCGCGGTCACTTGGAAGACAAGACCAAATTAGCGTCAAGCTCAAAGCATGGCGTGCTCAGCAGAGCGGGACAGTATTACATGCCTGCACACCGCTTGCAACTTTACAAGGCGTAGGATCAGCCTCACATGGAATGCTGTTCCCATCTCTGGGCCGAGGCTCTCCAGTGCCAGATCCTTCCATGTCATCGCATCCAGCATAGAGCGGTTCGAATCGTCGGTGACCTAGTTCTTCCTGGTCGTTTTGACTCACTGTCACTGCGAAGAGATGTTGCATTCTTTGCGTATTTCATCGCATCTACCACGGGAAGGGCTCTGAGGAATTGTTCAGTCTAATTCTAGCCGCTCAATTTCACCAGCGCACATCGCAGATGAACTGATGGCAAGTGCTAAAAACACGCAGGTATTCTGTGAAAGCGCCCAGTCGAGCCAACCCATTCGTGCCGCAGCTATAAAAGGGTTAGCCAAGTTGACTTTCTACAATCGTTAATGCTAATAGAATACATACATAATACATAAATACATAAACACTTACGCCTGTCACCCAGAGGGGTAGGCAGATACTACGGACTTCCATTTGGCGCGATCCTGACACACCTCTCGGTAAAGGCCGGCAACGCATCTGCAATTCCCCTGGTGTTGCGGTTGTTCATGGGCGGCGGTAGTCACTTACCATCAGGTGAGCCGCATGCTCGTTTGCCCCCTCTCCTATAAAAAAAAAAAAAAACCTCTCTCGCCTCTTTTACATCCATATATCTACGCATACACGCTCGTCGGTTAAGGGTACTCCTAATCTAATAAATGCTAATAGAACTCGATTAAAATAAATAAGAATGATATTATATTTCATTGCATCGACTTGTTCGAACATACTCGTGGCCAACCACAAATTCCTAAGACTTTCACAATAAAAACTGAAGGTGGGCTAAGAAACTGTGCAAATATCTCCCGCGTATTTCATAGGTTTAGATTATTCGAAAGTTGTCACCAGTGTCGAAAATCAGACTAGTATAGAATAGAACTAGTATAATTTTACAATTTACTATTTACCATTTTCCAAGCATTCCTTCAAAGCTATAGTACTGTCTTCGTTGATGAAAATCTTAACGCCAATCTTTAAATTCTTTCGCTCCTCTTCCGCCATTTTGTTCTGTACGTCATCATGCGGTCTGGTTATGTTCAGTACAGCCTCCCTTGGAGCAGTTGATGTTGATACTACCATGTAGTTAGAGTTGTTGTGAGATGTTCTGGGATGGTTATCATCATTGATAGTACCATTTTGAATAGGCGCACCGTTCTGCGTTCCCCATTCGGATAACGTCAGCTTTATGCTTTCAGATAGCTGTAAACAAAAGCATGTTGATGAACATGATAGGGGTTAAAGAATACAGTTGCCATTTTAATGGAGTAGCTACTTTCAATTAAAATGAAATCAGCGTGGTCAAGTTTAAAACTTTTTTCACACAAAAGCTATGACAATTGAAATCAATAAACTTTTTAACATTCTATTGTTCGACTTTCAATTGTTCATGACCATGACGATGATCATGACGATGATTGTCACCATGACGATGACTATGACCATGATGGTGACGATGACGACGACGATGACGAAGACCATATGAACATATGAACATGACGTTGACCATGACGATGTCGATGACGGTGACGTTAACAATGGCCATGACGGTGACGGTGACAATGACGATGGCAAAAATCATATGACCATGACGATGACCATGTTCATGACGATATTGATGACGATGACCATATGACCATAACGATGATGATGATCATCATCATGTAGCATATATACAACTAGCTGTTCCCCACGACTTCATCCTTGTGGAATTTATTACAATTCATTGGTTCTAATTTTTTTGCATGGAACCCTAATTCTTTAAAAAAATAAAAGTAGCCTAACTCCTTATAACATCAGCTATTTGCCAGTGAAAATCCTCTTACAATCGGTCCAGCCGTTTCGATGATTAGCCGGAGCAAACAGACAGACCGACACACGGACAATATATTCACGTGGAGACTAAGATGTTCAACATCCCAATGTCTTATGGATGCCAAGCAAGATCCAGTTTACCGTCAAGTTTGCAGCACGCTTGAAGCGGCGTCCGGTAAAATTGATGGTGTATGGCTATCAGTGTGCATGAAAAGTCTACTTGAAGCAAAAATTTAATTTCGATTCTGCCGACTTGATCAAGCTTGCAGCGTTATGTAAACTTGAATGTGTATATGAGAGGTCAAGTATACATGAATGTTTGTCGAAGCAATAAGCGAGAGACACCATGGTTTCAACGGATGCGGCTTCATGCAAATTTGACGGCGAACTTGAATGTGAGTGGTCTATATGGATGCACTGCAAACTGGACGCTGTTTCAAGTGCACTGCAAACTTGACGGTAAACTGTATCGAGTATGACATCCATTAGTTACCTTCAACTTAATATTATTAATTTTTGGTATATTATAAGCAGAAGGTAGCAATAGTGCCCTAATCTTGCAGTGGTATGCTTAAGTTGGTATTTAATATTATTGGTTTTATGATGATAGTGATAATTTGATTAATTATAGGAAGAAATTGAACACATCAGTCCCCCCATATCCATAATTAATGTATAGTAATCTAAGCATACAGTAATATAAAACAAAGAGAATAATCAAACACTATAAAATTAAATATAAAAAATCATTAACATATTTTATGTTTTGATTCAAATGCCAACCATGTTTTATGGTTCCAATCATATCATGAAAACCACATGATACATTGATTAGATTCCCTTAACATATATTATATAATCAAACTTCATATTGAAATTTGAATGTTGCTCTGAACAATGCATCATATGCATTAAGCTTTGGTGGAGTGATTAATGTGCATACTAGTATATAGCTGTGATGCATAAATGGACAGAAATTAGTAAGTAGAAAGTTAAAAAATTAGTAGCAAACATAAAAAGACAGTATATTTGAATTATTTTCTCATTTAAAAATTGAGATCAATACATATAAAACTACAACATATAAAACTTGCTTACCTACTTCTAAATATTGTTATTATAATTTATAAACAAAAAACATTGTGTGTCTGCATATTTTCTCATGCAGACAGTCATTTACCATGGTAGGTTTGAACTCCATGCTTAGATATGCATATTATAAATAATGTTGAAATTCTTTTAAAAAATCTTGTTAGTTCAAAACGTAACTTTAAAGTACAACAAAATAATTCAAAATTAATATGATTTAGATTTTAAATATAAATTGTATTCATGAATAAGATGCTAAAATTTAAGATTTTTTATACTAACCTCTTCAGTAACATTTTGTCCAGCCTTTTTCTTAATGTCGATCAAGTTAAGGACATTTCCAGTATTAATAGTCACTTTGGAAGCACTCTTTAACATCGTGACCAACGTGATTTTAACTTTTTTTAATACTTTATCAAGGTTTTATGCGCACTGTATCAAGGTTACCGAAAATTAAACGAGTAAAACACTCGGAGCACAGGTCGAAATAATACAAGACCATATACCAGCGGTGATACTGACACACTGACTAGTGACTACTACTACTTGTGGCTTTGCATTGCAATGCACCAAAGGACTCATAGTTTATAATATATTTAACATATCAATATCAGCTGTTTAATAGTTATAGAGTTATGACGAATTCAACGCGAAACGCGAATTGAGTGTGACATAATGGAGAGTCCATTGGCAGATAATTATCAGCTGCTATTGCGGAATCATGGTTATATTAAAAGGAATGGTTTTACTTAGAAAAAAATACTTCAACTATAAAAAACAAAAATTTGTTGTATCGGTGTGTAGGTATTTCTAATATTTCAAACAAATGTTTCTACTCAATGTTGCCACTTGCCAGATGAACGTTTTTAAATTTTGAATTCTTCTCTTTGATCTGGTATCACTAGACTACACGGTGATTATCTAGCCAAATGATTAATGTAAAAGTAGTGATTTATGAGCATGCATCTTTTTCTTATAGGCTGTTCTCAGATATTGATTAGTAGTTTAAACGTGTGAAAAGTCTCATATTACCAGTAAACGGGGGGCACGGCCAGCACTGCCCCCGCCAAGTCGACCAAAAAAGCGGCACGGCCGTACCATCCTTTTCTCGAAGCAGTTCTCAAAAATTAAATTCCGCTCAAAAATGAGCAACAATACCAAGGCGACCCATGCCACGCTATCCGTGAATTTCTGCAACATCAGGGGTCTTCACTCGAACCTAAACGTCGTCCACTACCATCTCGAGACGGCGAAGCCAGCCTTGCTCTTTCTGACCGAGACGCAGGTGTCCTCTCCGGCTGATACTTCGTATCTCTCCTACCCGAGGTACGAATTGGAGCACTCCTTTGTGCCTCGGGCTGGAGTTTGCGTATTCGTCAGAGAGGACATTTGTTCTCGACGCCTCGGTAGTCTTGAGGGTTCGGACCTGTTCATCCTTTGGCTACGCGTAGACAGCGACGACCATCCGCGCGTCTACGGGTGCCTCTATAGGTCCCATAGCGGTAATGCCGAAGCAGACCGACTCATCGACCACGTCCAAATGGCTACAGATTCCTTGCTACAACAGGTCCCATCCGAAGAGATCGTGATCCTTGGCGATTTTAACACACACCACGCCATATGGCTCAGTTCACGTTTAACCGATCATGCGGGGAGGTCTGTTTATGACTTTGCCTTGGCATATGGTCTGATACAACTGGTTACTTCGCCTACGGGGATTCCAGATGTGGAGAACCATACACCTTCCCTGTTGGACCTTCTGCAGACCTCTCATCCGGACGGATATCAAGTTTCCGTCGATGCCCCTCTCGGCTCTTCGGACCATTGTCTGATCTGGAGTGTGGTGCCACTCACGCTCCCCTTGCGGTTGCGTTCTGCAGGTTGCCGGCGTGTTTGGCATTACAGGTCTGCTGATTGGGACGGAATGCGGCCTTTCTTTGCATCCTACCCATAAGGGCAGGCTTGCATCTCACTGGATGATCCCAGCGCTATTACTGACTCTGTCACTGATGTGGTGCTACAAGGAATGGAACTATTTATTCCATCATCTGTGGTACCCATCGGAGGCAGATCTCAGCCTTGGTTTGGTCGCTCCTGTAAGACTGCATTACGCAGTAAGCAGGAGTGTTATCAAGCCTGGGCTGCGGCTTCGGTGACTCGGGATGTAAGCACCAGTATACTTAAAAAGAAGTATAAATTCGCCTCCAGCCGGGCTATTCACAATCGTCTCGGAAAGTGAAATCAACTCGGATTCGATAACTTCTCGCACCGAAAGCAATAAACGCTATTCACATTTAACGTTCGGATAAAGATCACTTAGATACATCCTATAACTATTGTATCGTCATTTATATTTATACTTTTGTATTTTTTTAGAGTAACGCCTGAACAAAAACATAATGCAATATTTTGGAGTTAGCCATTGATATCGAATATAAAAAATATATAATTTAACTATATAATAAATAACAAAAAAACTGCCAGCTCATGCGGTACCTTGAGGATCACCAGCTGATTAGTAACCGCCAATACGATTTTCGTCGGAGTCGATCAGTTGGTGATCTTCTGGTCTACCTGACCCATAGATGGGCGGAGGCATGAGAGTCCAATGGGGAGGTATTGGCCGTTAGTTTGGACATTGCTAAGGCCTTCGATCGGGTTTGACACAAAGCGCTTCTGTCGAAGCTCCCTTCCTATGGGCTTTCCGAGAAATTGTGCAATTGATCACCAGCTTCCTTGCAGATTAGAGCATCAAGGTCTTTATAGACGGTGCGTGCTTCGACTACAAGCCTATTAACGCTGGTGTTCCACAAGGCTGTTTGCTATCACCAGCGCTGTTTCTTCTGCATATCAATGACATGTTGCTAACTGGTAACATTAATTGCTATGCGGATGACAGCACTGGTGATGCTCTATACACCGGCCTTGCCAATGTTTCTCGGGAAAACGTCGCAGAGTACCGGAACAAACTTGTGTCTGAAGTCGAGCCTTTGCTGAACAAAGTTTCGGATTGGGGGCGACTAAATCTAGTCCAGTTTAATCCTCAGAAGACACAAGTTTGCGCATTTACCGATAAAAAGAACCCCTTTGTCGTATCTCCTCAGTTTCAAGGCACTCCCCTTCTTGCCTCAGCCAGTATCGGAATCCTCGGAGTCGACATATCGAGTGACGTACAGTTTCGTGGTCACTTGGAAGAGAAAGCCAAATTGGCCTCTAAAAAGCTTGGCGTGTTCAGCAGAGCGGGACAGTATTTCATGCCTGCACACCGCCTGCAACTTTACAAGGCGCAGGTTCGGCCTCACATGGAATACTGTTCCCATCTCTGGGCAGGGGCTCCCCAGTGCCAACTCCTTCCACTTGACCGCATCCAGCGCAGAGCGGCTCGAATCGATGACGACCGAGTCCTTTCCGATCGGCTCGATTCATTGGCACTGCGAAGAGATGTTGCACCCCTTTGCATTTTCTTTCGCATTTACCACGGGGAGTGCTCTGAGGAATTGTTCGGATTAATCCCAGCCGCCAAATTTCACAAACGCACATCGCGGCACAACTCTCGATACCATCCACACCATCTGGATAATTGGCGGTCCACCATTGTGCGATTTAGAAGATGTTTTCTTCCTCGCACGACTTCCTTGTGGAATCGATTACCACCAGCGATTTTTCCGAACCGATACGACTTATGGACCTTCAAGAAAAGAGCCTACTCCTTTTTAAAAGGCCGGAAACGCATCTGCAATTCCCCTGGTTCCCCTGGTGTTGCAGTTGTACATGGGCGGCGGTAGTCACTTACCATCAGGAGAGCCGCATGCTCGTTTGCCCCCTCTTCTATAAAAAAAAATGTACATCTACCTATAAATAATAATATATTTTGATAACACACATCCCATAATATATTTTGTGAACGATATAAATTAATTAATGTGTCGATTAACTCGTTCGTCCACGTGACACACATGTTGCCGACAAATGTTTTGAACAAGCGTCTCCACAGGGGGAACAAATGTTAGCAACAAGCGTATTCCTTTGATGTTGCCGCCAAAAATGGAAACACGGTTCCCGACATTGTTTACAAGTTTTGTTGCCAACATTAGGTAATTACAGAAACATTTGTCACCAACACGTGATGACAACACAAAAGTTGGTAACAAAACTGGTGGAGACGCGGCTTTAGAGTCGCCTCTATTCAAAGCACTCTGTGGTCGCCTCTACCACAGAAGTACATAAAGCCACGTATTCACCAAAAATGTTGACAACAGTTATGTTGCCAATTGTTTACAACTGTTTCCAACAAGCGTCTCCACCGAGGGAACAAATGTTTGCAACAAGCATATTCCTTTGATGTAGCTGCCGAAAAGTTCCCGACATTGTTTCAAGTTTTGTTTCCAACTGTTGTGTTGGTAGCAAAACTTTGGTGAAGACGCGGCTTAATAGCTCAATGAGAGCAAGCAGATTTTTGTGGTACATAGTGTATTATCTATGGATTTTTGGATTATATAAAATTTATTTTATAAAAAATTACTCTGTGTTTATGACTTAATTTTTTTCGCAGTGTCACTGTCCTATTCATATTCACACGGGCAGTAATCTTCAAGAAAATACTGGACATGGGAAACGTCATAGCAAGATGATATGTGACAGCTAACATCCCCCCTCGCCTCTCAACATCACTTCTAAGCATGGAGTATAGAGTACACTACTCTATACTCCATGCTTCTACGCTCAATTGCAAGCATAGACTTGGTATTGCAAGCTGTCGCGGCCATATTGTTTTTGTTTGTTTTTTTTTGTCATTGCATTGTCACTGAGCACTAAGTGATATTACTGATAAATTTTACTGTGGTGGCGTTGATTTATTTCCGCCCTATCTTTGCATTTACTTGTATCAACCGATTGCCTTTTACTGTAGTAAAGGATCAACATCTACTATTAAAGCGAAAATATTATAAAAGAAATTGTTACAGTTGTTGGTGAGACTGGACATTCCACTAACATTAGTCTCAGATGAAGGGGCTATATTTAGATCTGCTCTTAAACTACTGCAAGAGGAAACTAGAGCAGTTCAAATACGAGAAAATAAAAACACTGGTAGGTACAATTAATCAAAACCTTACCGTCATGTTTACTTTTAATAGAATTGCCTTATTGTATCCAGTATAATATCAGTCCATATACTTCTTAGCCAGTGGCCTAGATAGTACTATTATTTATCCTGTGGCATAGATTACTGTTATAGGAATACATAGATTATTGTATATATACTACAGACTTAGAATATACTGGCGTATAGACGACCTGACAACCTGTTAGCTAGTGATGTGCATTTTACTTACACGGACTGTCGAAAAATGATTGCTAAGGAAGCGGTAAAAAAGGAA